GTTATGTTAAGCATTAGAAGGTCAGGAAGTTTTATCAATCCTTTCCAGGCAGGACTGAGAGAGACTCCAGAGCAAACTCACCTTGAGGAATCTGAGCCAGTCTCTCCCCAAATTGCGGCCTTGCTCCTTGGCCACAAACAGACCAAAATAGGACTTCCGGGTCAGCGCCATCGTTAATGGCGGATTCCCTTTGATTCTCGAACGGACCAGCTCCGCGGGATCGGGTCTTACCGCTGCGGCAAAGCGGGGACCCTTTAAAAATCACAGGCGGGGGAAGCCTGTGAACGTGGGGACTTGGCGGGCACCATTTGCGCCCCCCCCAAGTTGCGAAGGGACCCTTTTAAGGGCTCAGGAGCAGGACGGGGTGAGCGGCGCGGTGCTGAGAGTCGACTGCTTCTTCCGCGGAGTGAAGCCGCACAGCTGTTATCGGAGAGCGCTGACTTTTTCCTGGGATAATTGGATTTCGAAAGCAACTACCCGTGAGTAGGATTAAATTGGATTTAAAAGGAGAAAAAACAGCTAATTCGGCACTGAAGCGGGAAGGTATAACCAGGAAGTCTGCCTTCCTTTCTTGTAAATAGATCAAAGCAAAGAGACTGTAAAGCAGAAACATAGAGAGACGTTCGGAAAAAAGACTTAAATCTTAACATCTGGAAAGTGGTCTCCCCTCCGGATTGCAGGAGAGGAGGGGGGAAGGTTTGAGTTGTATTTGCCTGCAAAGAAAAGGGGGAAAGGAAGCTAAAATCTGCTGCTTAAAACCTGGGAACGGACTGCCCCTAGGCAAGGAATGCCGTTCAGTGGAAAGCCTATCGGTAAGCAGAGGATTTTTGACAGCTAACTCTGCAGAAGAGATACAGTGTTTCTGGACTTCTCCTGGCTTTAAAGTAACTGTTCAAGTGCACTGAAACTGTTGTTTTTAAGTGAATTGGGGGACTTATAAAGACCATCTTTGTTCTTAAAAGTTGCAAGCTTTGGCTGTTTCTGTGTACCCCTAGAGGAGGCTGGACATTGTTACAATAACAACTGGGTTAGAGGAAAATTCCATTCCAAAATAAACTTTCAACTGTGGGAACGACCTTGAATTCCCATGAGAGTGTTATGGCAGATGGGAAAGGAAAGATAGAGCTGGCGCAGGAAAAACTACTAGGTCTGGCAGACACTATCGGACAGATACTGCGCAGCAGCGAAGGGCTTCAACATCTGGAGCATCTGGAACATCAGGGGCTGCACCCCCACAGGTCAAACCAAAAGTTATGTCGTCCGAAGACGTTTTGGCACATGCACTTGGAAAAATTAATGAATCTTTGGAAAAATTAGCTAAGCAGGTAGCTGAGACTAATAAACAAGTAGCTGAAGCATCAGGTAAAATTGATCTGAATACTACAAGTATTAATAATTTGGGACAGAAGGTGAACACCAATACAGAGTCTATCGAAAAATTATTACAGGAATCTGCTTCGACCCGAAAGATAGCTGAAGAAGCAAAAGATATTGCAACTGCTATTCAAGAGAAGATACCACCAGTATATAAGAAAGCACATAAATTTAAAAATCATTTTATTTAATTTAAAAATCATATTGTCAGGAAAGCACTGTTTAATGTTTGGATAAGATACAAAGATTTATTGGAAAATAAAACCCCAAGGTGGTTGTCACCGATGGAAGCGAAAGCTCTGAAAAGGCTCAATATGGAGGCCAAATGGCCGAAATATTGGGAAATTTTGGAACAAGAAGGAGACAAATTGAAATTGCAGAGTTTCGAGAAACTAAAAAACAAAGTGAGAGATTGGCTTCATTATTATCAGATAATGGAGGCATATAATTTGGATAAGAAAATTGGCTTCCAGGTGGAAAAATCAAAACTAGAAACAGAACTGTTAGAACCCAAAACTAAGAATTTGTCAAGAATGTATAACTTGCTGTTGAAATGGAATACTCAGGATGAAACGGTGAAATCTGCTATGATTAAATGGGCACAAGATGTTGGACATAATATTATGTTTGCTGACTGGGAACAGTTATGGACCACAGGTATGAAGTTTACGGCATGTAATGCCCTAAGAGAGAATATTATGAAAATGATATACAGGTGGTACATGACCCCAGTCAAGCTTGCAAAAATCTATCATTTGCCCGATAATAAATGCTGGAAATGTAAAGAAACTGAAGGTACATTCTTTCACCTTTGGTGGACGTGCCCAAAGATTAAGGCTTTCTGGGAAATGATATATAATGAACTGAAAAAGGTATTTAAATATACCTTCTTGAAGAAACCAGAGGCCTTTCTTCTGGGCATTGTCGGCCAATTGGTGCCAAAGAAGGACAGAACTTTTTATGTATGCTACAACAGCAGCAAGAATACTCATTGCAAAGTATTGGAAGACACAAGATCTACTCACTTTGGAAGAATGGCAGATGAAGGTGATGGACTATATGGAATTGGCAGAAATGACTGGCAGAATCCGAGACCAGGGAGAAGAGTCGGTGGAAGAAGATTGGAAGAAATTTAAAGACTATTTACAGAAATATTGTAAAATTAATGAATGATAGAATGATGTTGGATAGTAATTAAGCGGTTTCTAGCTGTAATGCTCTAAGAGAATATAAAAAAGGGTTATAAATGGGTTAAAATCTAATGGTAAGGATTTGCTGAACCAATAAATTGAAGTGGAATACAAAAAAGGGAGGTACGAGGAGGTCCGGGAAACAAGCTGAAGGAAAATAAGTAATAGAAAATATGTGTGTTTTTAACTGTTTTTATTTTGTATTTTTCTCTTTTCTTTTTCATTTTTACTGTAATATTTCAAAAAACCTTAATAAATATCTTATAAAAAAAACCAAAAACAAACAGACCAAGATAAAGCAGGACTGGGAGAAGCCAGGGGCGATTCCCTAGTCATCAAGGACTTTGGAACTCAGGCAGGAGTCACCAGATGCACAGATATAGCAAGGGCGACCCCTGATCTACCAGCAGTGCAGGTGAAAAAGATCTAGGGGTCTTAGCAGACCCCAGTCTGAACATGAGTCAACAGTGCAATGCAATAGCAAAAGTAGTTGATGCATTTCCAGGCTGTGTCAACAGAAGTCTAGTGTCTCAATCACATCCCCTCCAACATGTTGACTCTGGAAACCTGGACACACATCTTCCCAGCCAGTCACATGACCTGCCCAAGACTGACTAGCCCAGGTGGTACATAACCCCAGTCAAGCTTGCTAAAATCTATCATGTGCCTGATAATAAATGTTGGAAATGTAAAGAAACTGAAGGTACATTTTTTCACCTTTGGTGGACATGCCCAAAGATTAAGGCTTCCTGGGAGATGATTTATAATGAACTAAAAAAGGTATTTAAATATACCTTCTTGAAGAAACCAGAGGCCTTTCTCCTGGGCATAGTCGGCCAATCGGTGTTAAAAAAGGACAGAACTTTCTTTATGTATGCTACAACAGCAGCAAGAATACTCATTGCAAAGCATTGGAAGACACAAGACTTACCCACACTGGAGGAATGGCAGATGAAATTAATGGACTATATGGAATTGGAGGAAATGACTGGCAGAATCCGTGACAAGGGAGAAGAGTCGGTGGAAGAAGACTGGAAGAAATTTAAAGACTATTTACAGAAATATTGCAAAATTAATGAATGTGAGAATGATGTTGGATTGAAGTTAAGTGGTTTCTAGCTGTATAGGTACAAAAGAATATGGAAAAATTGTTTTTAATATGTAAAAATCTAATGTTATAATATATCAAGATTAAAGATTAGGATTAAAAAGGAGGGAAAGGAATTGTTGGATTAACAAATTGAATTGGAATACAAAAGAGGGAGGTATGAGGAGGTCCGGGAAACAAGTAAACGTAAAAGAAGTGAGGAAAAGATGCAATTGCTTTTAACTGTTTTTTCTTTTTTTCTACTTTGTATTTTTCCTTTTTATTGTTAATTTTTTTATTAATGTGATTTTTTTCCCTTTGAAACTTTAATAAATATTATTATTATTTTTTTAAAAAAAAGACTGACTAGCCCAATATTATATTTTGTTGGAAGCCGCCCAGAGTGGCTGGGGAAGCTTCTCACTGGGCTCCTTTCCTGTCCAGTTATTCCCTCACCTGTCCACACCTGGGCCAACCTGAGGCTCTTCTCCCGGTAGCTGGGCAAGGTCTACGGCTCGGTCTTCACCGTCTACCTGGGGTTGTGGCGAGTCGTGGTCTTGAGCAGCTACAAGGTGGTGAAGGAGGCCCTGGTGGACCAGGCAGAGGACTTCAACGCGAGAGGGCATTTGCCGTCCTTTTCCAATGATTTCAATGAGCACGGTGAGAGGTCCATCCCTGTGGGGAAAGGGGGCTTGGAGCACAGCTCAGCCCATCTTTCTGTCACTCATCAGACATGTTGGAGGGTAGACTGCCACCCTGGTGCCCTCCATCTGGTTTGGACTACAATTCCAATCAGCGTCATCTAGGGATGGGCCGATAGGACTCGAACCCATGGCTTCAAGTTACAAGAAAGGAGATTCTGACTAAGCATCAGGAGGAACTATCTGATGGGACGTCAAAGTGCAAGTAGATAAATAGGTACCGCTCCGGCGGGAAGGGAAACGGCGTTTCCGTGTGCTGCTCTGGTTTGCCAGAAGCGGCTTAGTCATGCTGGCCACATGACCCGGAAGCTGTATGCCGGCTCCCTCAGCCAATAAAGCAAGATGAGCACCGCAACACCAGAGTCAGTCACGACTGGACCTAATGGTCAGGGGTATCTTCACCTTTTTATCTGATGGGAAAAGCTGTTAGACAGTGGAACGGTCTCCCCCCAGAGGTTGTGAACTCTCCTTCCTTGAAGGGTTTCAAACAGAGGTTTGGTGTCTACAATTCTATGGTCTGTCAATTTTGGTTTCTATCAGTTTCTCATCTTCCCCACTCTTAATTTCGGTTTCCCACATATCCACATTGGTTTGCGAATTATTCTTCCAAATTTGAGTGCAAGATTCTCCTAACATGCACATTTTTCTTAATATGTACAACATTGTAAAGCAATTCCCCCAAAACAAAACACGTTTTACTCACCTTATTTCTGTGACTGCAAGTTACCGTAAGCTGTTTTTAACATTGTGCTTTAATGTTGCAACCCCCAGCCCTACGCTGGGACCTTAGGGTAAAGGGCGGGTGATTAATGTTTAGATATTGGCATCTGTCTGTCTCTAGAGACAATGGAGTGTGCCTCTGGGGTGAAGGCAAACCATTGTGTTGACAGCACCAAAGTGACCTCTTCAGGGCGGAAGTCTGGGCAGTGTGCATGGGAGTCCTGGGCTCCCCAGAGGACAAGACCCCTCTTCGTCCCACTGATGTGGTCCCAAGGAAAGCAGAGCAAGACGTTTGGCACCAGCTTGGCTGCAGGAGTTGCCAGAAGGAGGCGTACAAGGCATCATCCAATCACCTTAGGGATTTGTGTAGGGTTTAATCCTTTGCCTTGACTTCTCATGAAGATATTCCACAAGGCAGCACTGTTTTAGGACCAGAGTTTTCCTTCTCCTTGATAGGCTCCCTTCCCAGTGGATGAGTCCCATCTGGCCCTCACTTCCCTCTACAGCACATGCAGAAACCGCCTTCTAGACCATTGGACCCACTCTTGGTCCTATTTGCTCAATCCGCTCAATTCTTATGCATGCTTTATTTTTGCGGCACTATACTTGGCTGAAGAACTGCGTTGCAAAATTCAGAGAGGCATGGATTTGCAGCTGTGTTCCAGTTCTTGGCACATCTTGTAAATGCAAACTGAATTGACTTTTTCTCCCCCTCACCAGCCAACTGGGCCAGATGTTGCTGGGAGAGATGCAAGTTCTCATCCCCAAAACAGCTGGAGGTCACCAGGTTGACAAAGGCTGATTTATCCACCGTGATGTTTTCTTGAAAGCAATGTACTTGGCAACATTCGCCTGGCACATAAACAGTGGTTGTGAAGGGTATTGTTTATCTCAGCAGTAGAAAGACTAGGAGAAATTTATGCAGCAAACTGGAGGTCAGGAAATGGGAGGTTGTGGGAGATGTCTCTGGGAAACATAACACATGAATCGGCCAAGGTTTTAAAAGGATGAGTATCAAAGAGACAATCTGTACTGGAAAATTATTATTCTCTCTTTCTCTGAACAGATTTTATTAAAAGTTTGGAAACCACTAGCTTATATATTTAGCAGCTCAGTAGTGCTTTTGGGTCTCCAACCCAGTGTCAGTATTCCCTTCTCATCCTCCTGCTCCTCTCATTGGAACTTTGGAACTCCCTTCCAAGAGAATTTAGATTACCTCCCTCCTTGCTGTCTTTCCACTGGCAAGTGAAAACCTTCTTATTCCAACAGACCTTTGGGAATGGAGTTCTTTCAAGGAAAGATCTGGTACTGTGTTGTTGTTATTGTAATTTTATGTATGTTTTTAATAGACTACATTATGTTGTTGTTGTTGTTTAGTCATTTAGTCGTGTGCGCCTCTTCGTGACCTCATGGACCAGAGCACACCAGGCACTCCTGTCTTCCACTGCCTCCCGCAGTTTGGTCAAACTCATGCTGGTAGCTTCGAGAGCACTATCCAACCATCTTGTCCTCTGTCGTCCCCTTCTCCTTGTGCCCTCCATCTTTCCCAACATCAGGGACTTTTCCAGGGAGTCTTCTCTTCTCATGAGGTGGCCAAAGTCTTGGAGCCTCAGCTTCAGGATCTGTCCTTCCAGGGAGCACTCAGGGCTGATTACCTTCAGAATGGAGAGGTTTGATCTTCTTGCAGTCCATGGGACTCTCAAGAGTCTCCTCCAGCACCAGAATTCAAAAAGCCACTCCAGTATCCCTGGCAAGAAAACTCCATGGACAAAGACAACAGACTACATTATATTAAAGTTTAATTGTGTTTTTTTTTAATTATTGTCCCACTCCACCTGTTCCTATTTTCTCTGCAAATTGTCCTCAGTCCCTGTCAAGGAAGAAGGGGGGAGATATACACAAAAATATTACAATAATCATAATATTGCTTGGGCAGGGGTGGCCTTTGCCAACGGAGATTGGTGGAGGCAGCTTCGCAGGTTCAGCCTCACCACCTTGAGAAATTTCGGGATGGGGAAACGGTCCATCAAGGAGCGGATCCAGGATGAGGCCCGGTGCCTGGCTAGGAGTTCCGTAAGTTGCAAGGTAGGCCTCTGGAGAAATCCATAATTAAAGGATTGGTCGCCTCTAGAAGACTCTGTGGTGCTTGGTCCACAAGCATAGCCATTGTGTGCTCTTGCCAAAGACAGACCTTTCCTTCCCTCCTCCTGCCTTCTGTCTCTCCCCACTAGGGACGCCCTTTGACCCCACCGTCGTCATCAGCCGAGCCGTCTCCAATGTCATCTGCTCTTTGGGAACAGGTTCCAGTACGATGAGAAATTCATCACCTTGAGTGAGCTGATCACAGAATGGTTCCACGTGGCCAGCCTGCCCCCGTCTCAGGTGAGGGCGGACGGACTGCCACCGCCACCCACCGTAATATCTTTTTTTTTTTTTTTTTAAAGCAATTTATTGGATTTTACAATAAAAATAAACATAATAAACAATATAACATTTGTCTTAACATAGTTTCACATTTTCTTTGGACTTCCTCACATCCCCCGCTCCCACTTTCATCGTTATAACATTTTGTCAGCAGTTTATCATCTTATTTAAATTCTTATATCTCTTCAATGTTTCATAATCTTATAGTTCTCATAAAGAGTTAAACTTTCACAGTCTTACTTGTTTTCTTAAAAACTTCTAAGTTAAGTGGTGCTCAGTTATTTAGTCTAGCATCTTATTTAGCATTCACTCAAATCACAATATTTTTGTAGATAGTTCTTAAATTTCTTCCAATCCTCCTCGATTCTCTCTTCTCCCAGGTCACGGATTCTGCCGGTCATTTCAGCCAGTTCCATGTAGTCTATCAGTTGCATCTGCCATTCTTCCAGTGTGGGTAAATCTTGAGTTTTCCAATGTTTTGCAAGAAGTATCCTTGCTGCTGTTGTTGCATACATAAAAATGTCTGGTCCTTCTTTGCCACCCCTTGGCTGACAATACCCAGAAGGAAAGCC